TGCCTGTTTAAACTGAAAGTCCATTCCAAATATCAGGAAGCTTGTTTTGGAAGACACTTTGGCAAAGATTATACTTGATCAACCTTGTTTGTTTGTGAATTAATATTGTGCATATAGGTGAAGTCCATTTGATTCAAAGAGAGTAGCTTTCTGAGAGCAGTCTTGAAGAAAAATGTAAGATTAAGCTTAACTCTGTATTTCAAAGTGCTTCAAACCCTACATCTTACAAAGTAAATTAGGTTACACTCCATAACTACAGTCATTTTTGTGAAATGTCTCTGTATTCTTTTGAACCTAATTTACTTCTTATAAAAAGGGTTACAGGGGACATATTCTGTCACTGAGCGGATACATACATCACTCAATAATAATGTAGACTCACGCTTGTGGAAATTACGAACTATGAAACCCGTCGTTTTACGTGCCTTCTAACTAGTTGGCGTTATATGTTCTGAAAAAGTGAGATTATAGGAGTTGCTCAAACTAAGGTCTTTGATAGCGTCACTTTTGAATATCAGTTTACGACCCACTTCAAAATGGAATCCCAGAATGTTTCATCCATTAGTAATCCGGCCTCACTTGTTAATAGTGAACCGTAGTAGGTAAATTTTACACCACACTGCCTTGTTTGGTTCCTCTTGAGTAGACCTAGCAATGTCGTACACTTGGTTATAATATGGGTGGACTACTTTAAGGTCATCTGCGTGTTGCAAAACCTTCGGATATACGCTCGTATCCAGTGATACTACAGATATCTTAACAATTACTTGTACTGTATCATAACCCCGATCTGACGAACACTGAGGGGAAATGTTTAGTTCTTATGCTTGTTGTAGTCTTAAGATATATTACTTTTAGCTGTGACAGATACCTTCGCACACTTACCAGATGCGTTATATTGCCCGAGACTAAGGATCTCCTTTTAACGTTTGCAAACATTTTACTGAACGTTCCACAGATATCCGTTGGGTTATCATGGAGTATGTCGTCCTGGATAAGAAATGGGATATTTTTTGGTTCACACATGCTTTCACTCAGAAGTGGTGTTAGATTGATCGTTGAAGAGCTACTTTTCGGAGCTTTATGCTCTTCTTTACTTTCGTTCTGAGCACGTGATAGCTTAAAAGACTCATAGGCTTCATACATCAAGCATCAGTACAAAATTATTCAGAAAGTCTTCTGATTTTCACTAAGTATTTATGTGGGAAAATAACGAGTGATTTTTGAGAATCTTAAGTATTTCTTCAAGGGCTACATTATTCCAGTACAATATCATAGTTCTATAGAGGTTAGCCACTGTGGCTGATATTCTTTTCTGTAAAACAGAGATCCAAAACAACGTTATTTATAAGTTTGACCAGCACCCATCAATGTATAAACATGAAACATCATATCCTTGCTCTGTGTGAATATTCTCTTACCATGTATTAAGTATATTAATTGGTCATAAACAATATGCCATCTTTTTATAATGAACAGAAGACACTTTGGCTATTTGGAATGACAGGGCAATAACTGCATGTAGATTACTTGATATACTGTTTCCAACCATGAATATCAGTCGCAACAGTTATGTCTTCACATCGCTTTAGAAAATTACCTGTCTTCAAGTTGATTTTAGGAAAGTCGGAATCATAAGCAAGCAATATGAAATAAACGTCTGATGTTGAAACTTGTACAAATATTTTGAAATATGCTTTGATTGTTTCCGGGTTTGAGGTGAGTCTCGTAGATTCACATCTCACAAGTTTCCTACAACCAGTGCCGCATATAGTTGAGCCATAAACAACCTGTTACTGCGCTTAGCATATTGCATTGATAGATTTATGTACGTGGATCGTACATCCTTCACACCTTCTATGATCTGGGTTGAAAAGGCACAGTGTATAATCATCTCTACCTATTTCCACACCTAGTATTGGGGACTAGCGCCACGTTTCTGTTGTTAAGATGATTTACGGTATAGAGATTAAGGCAATCATTCTAAATTCCTTTACTAAATAATTTAGGTGGCGCTCAGTAACAGGCGTGGCCGTGAATTGATCATGCTTACCTAGAAAGCAGCACACCAGTTTATCTACACCTGACTGACTACATGTGTTTTTTATCTGGTTCAGGTTGTTATTCACCTAAGATGATGGATCTGCTAGAGGATCATCTACCTGTTAACTATGATGGCGACAGGACTAGTTTGTCATGTATTTCGTCGTTGTAACAAATGCTGTTAGTGAAATAGAAAAGTGCTTACCGTAGCCTTTCCGCTCACAATGAACTGCCGTTTTTGGAAAACATCTTCCTAGTATGGTTTTGTGGTGTTTGTACAATGTGACTAGCAGCCGCTACAATCAAGTTCTTCTAATTATAATTTCAGTGCAATAAATTTAGGTGAATCCATTATATTTTTTGTCTTCAATTATAATCATGACAATGAAACCTGGGTGTTATTAATCCTTATATTAAGCTCAGTACTTTTGCTACTTCTAGTTATCATACTTTTTCTTCTATTTAAAGGAATTAGTAATTGAGGATATCCTTACCATCAGGTCAGAGTGGGATAGATCATGAGTCATTAGGTGATGTGATTGTGGTTCAAGAGTCTTTAAATAGGGCAAACAAATGGCAAGCTTATGATAGCTACCTCAGTATCATTGATTAGCCTGCACATTCTCATTTGAAAACAGCCCAAAACAAACAAAATGATCTGTCCCACAAACAAGAACAGATTGAAGTTATTGCCCTCACCATCAAAGTTTGCATATTAGTAACCCCACTCTCCCTCCTATAGTGATGTTTGGTCAATTTAACATGATTTTATGGTGATTTACTGAGTTCTTCTCGGGATCCTATATTTTACATTCCGTTCAGCGACACTGTTCCTACAAGTTCCAAATCACACGCTCATCAGGATGCTATAACTTGTGAGCTATAGCTAAGACAGTAAATAGTGAGGGCTTCTACACAACCTATGAGCACTTAAGATGTAGCTGTTTAATAAAACAGACAGGAAAGTTTAAGAATATTTTGCTGGTAAATGTGGCAACGGATAACTATTTTCTTTCCACTGGATGGGGTAAAATCCTTGTGTTCTTATTACTCATACGTTTATATTTAGTCAAATAATTTCTTTCACTCTAACAATACAATTTTGCGATAGACCATTGACATTCCATGAACCTGTTGGGGACGGAGAAAGTTGTTTTTATTTTGAAATCTAAAATTTTGAAGTCGCAGTAGCTGTTAGGTTACTGACCAGCCTGATTGGATTTGAAGTCGGCCAATAGCACTTGACCTTTTCATATATCTTACTTTCAATCATTATTGTCCCAAAACGCTTGGTGATGTCAGACTGTTTTGATATTGAAGGTGGTAATACTTTTGGTAGTTTTAAACAGTGCAACTAAAGGGGTTTTTTCATTTTCTTCTTCGATGACAGTTAGTGATACTTAATGGAATGTCAGATAGTCCATATAAGATAGCTCATTAAGGAAAAAATGATTCGACTAGATAAGAAGGTAGTATGAGCTGATTTTTGACCTCCAAAAGAGGTATGATTTCGTGCCAGCACACATACTTTCAGTAACTCTCAGTAGCAGGCGACCTCACAAGAGTAAAAATACACATGTCATAGTCACTTTTAAACCATGATCGAAATACTGTGAATATTCATCACACCGCTAATAATCTCTGTAATTTGATTGTACACACTAGAGCAAACCGTAAGTCAGAAGGGAATGACAGAGGTCGTTATTCTACAAAACGAAGTGTGATATGGGACGTGATAAAAACTTACCACATGGAATATAATATGTAGACTGCCTTTTGGCAGTTACAGCATAATCTTTGGTACATTATCTCGTTGTGTATAGGTCATCAAATAGTACCAAAACAGTGATTAAGGGTGTTCTCATTTGTGTCCACTTCGCTGACGGCTAATAAGTTTTGATTTCCTTAAGAGCTTATCAGCCTACTATTAACTATGAGACAAAAATCGCAAATGAATCCCTCCATTCATAAATCCTAACATTTAAAAGCTCAGTAAAATTCATCCACAGAGGTTTAAACATATTAATTCAAAAACCAAATTATAGTTTGAGGTTATTAGCCAGTTTGTTGATTGAAACTTCCTAGTTTTAATTGCTTTTAAGGATAAATGTTACTTGAGATTTCTTCAATATACATTTTGTTTGCCTAGTTCAAGGATATAGATAATTGACCTTGATAACACTTTTAACTCTGATGTGAGTATGTTTAGATACTGCTAGTCTGTCTTAGTATGTCGGCTTGCAGTTTCTGTGTATCGTCCCTCAATATATGGTCGAAATTTTACTCATTTTCACGGGATAAGTTCCCTACTTTACTATAATTCGTGCGTTCAGAAGCCTTAATTTTACGATACATTTAATATAACAATTAGGTGTGAACAATGCCGCTTTTCACATTTTCCAGTTATTTGATTCCTTGATTCTTCCAAAATTTTCCAGCTTGCCCCTGCGAACCAGTATGTACAGTCTCTGGACATTTCCATTGTAACGCATTAAATAATCTTACTGTAACTACTTTGTATTAATTTCAACTTCTAAGTTGAAACGCGATGCACAAATAATTGGTTCTTTGGAACTTTACGTAGTTTCCAATGCAGTTATCTGATTCTATTATTTCGGAGTCATATAAGTGCAAGAACATTTAGCTTAAATTGACCCCACAAATATATTTCGAATTCACCTCATTTTGGGTATTGCTTGCATATTTCACACTTGGAAAGTTTGAAAAAACAGTCCAAACCTCCTGGTCGCCTGTTCACCCACACTTCACAGTCTTTAAATATTTAGCTAAGATTGTTATATGCAACAATCTGGTTGTGTTAACGTTATTTTTATGCCTACTGATATTTACATAGTTCGGTCTCGACCTTCGAATTTCGATTACCTTTGATCTTGCAAGTAATGATTGTCATAACACTACGTATTAATTATGTTAACTGTTGCTGTTTCTCTTTTCTAGGGATTTACAAACTACTACCCTCGTCTTACACGGAGGCTGATGTAGCTGACAATCTAATTCATACGATTCATTTATTGGCATCATTCGGATTTAATCTTAATTTTTAAAACTAATCATGTGGATTTATTCTAAATTCTCATGTGCAAGACTACTCTCGATTCTTTGCATAAGCAATTTACACAGATTCCTGTATATTATTATGTGTTTGTCGGTTATTCCTAGAGCATATTGTTCACAAGGTAAGTTTTATTTTTGTCTTTTACTTTATAACAGTTTAGTCCGTACAAGACCTACCATATTTACTTAGTTCGCTCCATAATTTATTAGTAGACTTCCTTATTTTAGATTTAAGACTTGTGTATATGTTGATAATGATTACACTTTGAAGTGTATTATAAACTCGTTTTTATATACGCGTTAACTAATATTAAATATATTTCGCCAGACCATATAAATTTTCATATGCTTAGTACTAATGTTTCATTTTTCAACTTGCGAACAGAACCAACTGTATGACTTTTTGGAAATATGTATTTCTTAAACTAATAACATTGAAACAGAAATCCCAAAAATTAAAGTATCATTTATCCTGCGTGTACAGCAAATCTCTCATAATTTTCGCTCTCAGGCCGATTACCACTGACGCCTAAATTCTATGTAAAGGTATCGATAACTAAGCGATTTAATGAGCACCGCTATGTATTTAGATTTACTTTCTTGTTCCTTACGACTTATCAGGACCCTATATTAATAGTGTATGTATCCATAGTCTAATTGTAAATTTATTTATTGTCTGTGAGTTAGCCTAACACCACCTGGTTTTCTGAGTAATCTATTAATTCGGCTGGCGTTTACGTTTCTATGCTTACTATTCCAACTGCTTAGTGAACAGGGAGCGTCATGTAGGTTATTAAGATTTCTAAAAAAACTCATTAATTGTCCTTACCAGTGTACTAGCGTAAAAATCAAACTTTTGTCTATAGTCACATAAAATGTTTTTGTTTTTTCTATTGTCGAGTTTGTACGTGAAAAACATTTGCTGTAGCATATTAGTTGACGTTATGCCATTAAAAGGCCACTAAACAGTGACTGTATTTTTCTACTTGACTTGCTGCATTTATAGATGTAAAGCTTTAGTAACCTCAGTATATGTATGCTCTCAGTGATCTATAGTTGTGGTAGAAGCTTATATTATTATTTTATCTGAGTTGTGTTTCGATCTTAGGGTTTCTTTCTGTGACACATCGAGTCGAATTGTTAAAACACCAACTAGTTATACGTCATCAGTGTATTTTTTTTCACTGTAGTGTAATTCGCAAGGATAGTTTAAAAAATTATATTGAATTCTAAAGTTTTAAATTTTTTCTTAGGTGTGCATAATTTTTAACTAACATATATGTACATAAAACCTTAAAGTATGATTCTGTTTAAAATAAAATTCTCACTTAACAAGATTTAGTACATCGTACTTTGGTCTTATTTATAAATAAATATTGTACTGTAAGTATTTGTTAAAATGATCTTGTTCGCCAATATACATGCGTGCATGATATGTATTTTAAAAGTGTTAGTTTATTTTTTATGCTTAGAAAAACAATTAATTGGTTTTTGTTTGTAGTATTTTGTCAAAACATTTGATCGTTAAAATTTGTAAATATACTTAAGATAAACATGAAAATTAATCTTAATGCTATTTTATATGTTCTGTCATAGGGCATTTTGGCGAAATATTTACATTTCAGACTAAAATTCAGGTTATTTTTTATATAATGAATATATTAACAATTGATTAACTGCTTGGCACTATTTTCGGCTAGTCACCTTGGTCAACTTAAAAAACATCTTAACAAATATACTTTTAAACATTGTCTAAATAATCAACATGATCATTCTCTTGCGAAGATAATTTGTTCATAACTGCGGTTTAAAATCTGGACTTTCAACTATTGAATGATAAGTTTAGATTTTTCACATGCTAGTGCAATTTCGGATTCTATGTTGAATAGTATCACTAGCCATCCTGTGAAATCTTTCGAAACACAGTCTACAAACCAGCAACGGATTACTGAGATGTAATTAGAAAATGTAACCTTACGACTGATAATTAGTAATAGGCTTGTTTATAAGTAATTTGACATTTTCGCACGGTACTTATTACTCACTTATTTATTACTCATTACTTTTGTTCATAGAGAACTTTGTGTCAGAGGGTCTTATTGATGCATTAAAACTAAATTAATATGTTTCTTATACATTACTACATAAAATCGTATTCAGTTCACCATAGACATTTTAAATTCAACGAAATCTCTTCTTTGAAAGGAGAATATTAAGACGAGTCAAGCATTTATTTAAACACTATATGTCTTACATTTTTACCTGATTAGGCATTTAGTAATTCATAAAAGTTTCATATTTTACCCGATCTGATGCAACAATTCAATTTCTTGAAATGTGCTTTCAATTAATTTTACATCTTTCAGTGTATATTTTTCACTTAGAATAATCTTACAGTGTTAAAGCGATATTCTTCAGTCTTTAAAAGAACTGTTAGATAGACCTTTATGTTACAAGAACTTTGGATAGTTAATATAATTTCTAGGCGGTTTTCATCACGGTTTAACGCTGTTTTCGATACGGTTAAAAACTAACGAGCGCTAGGTAGTCGTCTCATCTTAGTACATACGAAAGACTCAAAATGGAAAAGACTAAGACAGACCTTCAGGCTTCGAATTGAATGATGCCACTAAGCCAGTACATGATGTTTCTCATCACTAGCTTCAATGAATGTCATTTGCTGATGATTATGATTCTAAAGTATAGGCGCTCTCTGTAAGACCTAAATGTCCTGTGTTTTGTCTGTAGTTAGGTTACTAGTGGACATTACTGGGGAATCCCATACTAAGACAAAGCAGCAGCAGTATATTAGTTATAGATTTCTATTTCTGATCGTAAGGTTTCTGGTCTGAGCCCTACAACATATACTTCCATTCACTTAGCCGCATAGTGTCGCTAGCCCTCACAGACAAGGCGTCGAAATTATACTACGTAAATGAGTTACATTATTGGTGCAAAGCTGCTTTCCAATACTCTATGGTTTTCGACAGTACTCTAACTTTTCAGTGACGCTATCATATTGTAGGGAGTTGTACCTAGTTTTAAGAGAAGCTCTTCGACACTAATTGTTATGAATATTATGAAACATAGTTTATTTAATTCCTGAACGACTTTGTTTTCCACATTACCTTTGTGACCTTAATTGTGTCGGATTTATTTCTTTTTTGTAGAAAGGGAGAACATATACTATTCTCTTTATTCAAATTCACTGAAAACCGAATTCCCGTCAATAAACTGTTGTCATATATTAGAAGCAATAGCTTTTGTTTTTAAGATGCAGTTATCAAGTTTTTTAAAACCAGTTCAGGTTACTGAAATATTTTGGTTAGTATTGACTACGTTCTCTAGGCTTAATAGTTTAATTACTAAGCTTGCATTATCATGATGTACTACAATGTTCGCGCCTATTTCAAACGTAAATCAAGAGATAATCTGATTTGTCCGAGACTGTAAGTTAATTAACCAGGGCTCCATTGTATGTTCAAAACATTTTAGGGTTGACAGTGTTTTATACTAGTTCCTCGTAGTTTGGATGTATGTAAGATGTTGGCGATGATTTTGTAGTTACCTTGCTTGAGTTTTAACCATTGGGTTGATGTATCCAACTCAGCTAGACCTGCCACAGTAGATCTGACTAAATATACCTCAAAATCTAAGCATACAAATCTGTAATCGACTAATGAATTGAACTAAAGTTTTAAAAAACACTCATAATTTCATATCTATTCTATGTTATAAATCTCAGTAAATTAACAACCCTTCAGTATATACTTTATAAATACTTTTATCTCTTGACTCGTTACAATTACTTAATGAATATAGTAGACATAGAATCTAAACACTTTGTACATGCTATTTCGGTAGTGTGCTCAAGATATTATACATCACTATCTATGAGATTTGAATTGACCATTATATCTCTGTGCTAATGTGGTATGGCAACTTGAACTGATGATACTTACGTACGTAGTTCTACGTTATAACTGACTGACAATTATCACTGAACTAATATACAACAAAATCACAACGTTTATTATCCTCAGTGTCCAATATCTAGGACTATTTATAATGTTTTTTTACATAGTTCATTTTCAGAAAATATTGTCCAAATGACATTTCATTTGATACTCTCTCCTCATTCACAAGTAATCTTTTCTTTTGCACAAATTAATTCTTTCATTTTTTAAAAATCATTTTCAGACTAATATTATTGTATTGTATTCTGTGTTCTAATAGAACATCACTGATTGCAAGGTTTATCTATTGCATAATCCCTTGATTATAATCTCGACAAGGTTGTTTGTTTATGTCATTGATCAGTGCAATGGCTTAATCATTACAACATCTAAATATTAAATCATTACTATTCATTATATATACAAAAAAAAGTGCTGTCATGAATTTTATCGAAAATCAAGTAAATACCAACATATTAATAAATATATGATTCATTTTAAAGTCTAACATTCACTGTCATTTATTTGTAAAATGATCTCTTTGAATACACTTGAATTGTTTATTGCAAATCATTAGCATATAGTTTAATAATTCAATTGTTCATCTTAGTAGTACATTGATGTTGTTGTTGTTGTTGCTTTATTTTTCTCGTGTAAAATAGAATAATGAACACAACTAATCATTTTCCCCATAAATTATGAATTTACTTTTCTATTTTGTGAAATTACAAACTTCTGATTTCAAATAAAATGTTAATTAATGCTTCGAAAAGTAAACTATCACACTGATCCTTCTATGTTATTTAGTCTTTACCTGTGTGTGTGTGTGTGTCTGTGTGTACACCTACGCTCATGTTGTTTTAATTAATTAATCAACAATTACCAAGTCCAACTTTTCATTTTTAATTCAGACATGTAGGTAAATGAATAAGACAAAATGTTGTTGGTGTTGTTCTTATTTATTATGCTAAACTCATAGAATAGTGAGAAAAGATAGTGAAAACACACATGCAACACATCTCAAAGTGTAAAAATACTTTCTGACTAATATGCTACCTATGATTAAAACTATATTCACTAAGCAATAAATCATATTACTATATTACTAATTCTGACACCTCTGTTGTAGTTCTTATCAGATTTGACTTATGTTTACTATGTACCAC